TTAAAAGGAAAAACTGCCTTCATCTCTCACAGCTGAATGCGGCTAACGCTCAAACGCTCTGAAAATCGTTATTTCTGTAAGTGCATTTTAACCTTTTACGAATAAATATTTTTAGTTATTGCACTTAGAGAGTCTTTGTCTCCTCCATTTTTCACTGTGGGATACCATCAGGCTAACGACTCCGGCTCGGGCTGTGTGAGACCAGTCAATCGGAGTGGAAGGAGAGAACCACGCCTGATTGCCTGATCAGGAGACAAAAGAAGGAGCTGGAAAATTAAGATTAAGAACTTTCCCATACAAAGATCAACCTGGAAATGATCCAGTGGACATCTTGGGGATTATTGGACAGACTAAACCCAGTACCGTTGAAAGAAGGAAAGTAACCATTTAATTCCGCTTGCAAGATATGCACGAAAAGATTAAAACCTTTTGAAAGGACTGTTTTATTTTTGCCACCAATTTAGAGAAGTAATTCATCTATATCACTTTAGGACAATTTGGGTGGTTACCCACTGCAAAGGTTCCTTTTTGTCTCACGTTTTTATTATTATTACATACTTAAAAAGCAATTATCACGGCTGAAACACGCCCATAAAAAGGTAATTCAACTTTTCACAATTATTGTCAATAATCTTTCATGTTGATTCATTAAGTATTTATGGATTAAGTCAACGTTTGCCTTATTTCACGGACCAAGCAGGTCTAAATATTTCATGGCCTTCACGTTTAATATAATTCTGTTTTGATTGATTGAACACTTGTATTTTCACCACACAAACTATACACATACCTAATTATTGGTTGATTGGCACACAAATTAAATTTATGATCGATTTATACACCTAGAAGATTGATTTGCCCCATTAGACCGAGCGCAACACACTTGCAACTCAATATCTATCCAATACACAAAGTTGCGGCTGATCTATTTAGATAGTTAGACACATAATCCCAGCGCAGTGTTTTTTGTTCTATAAATAAAAGGCTGCTCGCCCCATGAGGCATAGCAGACACTACTTTTATCCGGCTTGCTATACAGTATATAGGCATTTATTCCATTGTGGGGGATAGATGTCTGAGACGCTTCCAATGCTCACTGACCCAGAGTAAACACTAGATGGCGAACATTTCTCAACTGAGCTCAAAAAATCAGCAGCCATTTTCTTGTACCCAGAGTAGGAGACATTATGATCCAATACACTTCCTGGAGGGTTGTGAGGCTGGAGATGTGCACACACTAAGGAGGTAATGATGTTTTCTTGTTATGAGCAAAGGGAGTCTCAGCATTCTCTATGGAATGGATGGGGGCAAAATGTCATGTGATCATATGGATCAGGTCATGTGTCATCTATACAACACACAGTCAGGGGTCAGCTGGCTGTGCACTGGGGGAATTGGTCACCTCTGGTGTATTGGGGTTGCCACAGAAATGTTAGTAAAGAGGTGATTTGTGGTCGTTTTTTGGTCAGAGGCTGATAAATGGTGGATTGTTGAACGCAGGACACTAAGGAGCAGCATAACGCAGGAACGCTCTTGCATAGCGCAGTGCAGTAAGTAGATGCTCCTCGGTGGAGCCAGTTCAGCCTTCCTTGCCCATTGGCACCCACTGGTTCTTAAATATTACTCCCACTCCAGTCATATGAGCGCCATTGTGTCCCCACTTCGCACCAGATACTTTATCCGATGTATATTTTTACACATTATTGCATTCTTCTCTTTTCAGATATTTGCTCTCGTAGCTTGTTCATGTTACATTTCTTTAACATTTGTTCCAGCCAACAAAACTGGTTAAATTAATTGAAGCCAAAACACTCCATAAGGAAAGACTACAAAACAGATGACCTGACTGGAGATGGAGAAGGAGGGGAGTCACACCAGAGAGAGGATATTGGACCTCACCCTGGAGATCATCTACCTGGTGACCGGAGAGGTGAGGAGGATTCTGGGAGGTCACATGACATCACTCTTATCTCTATTAATAAGATACAGACCTGACTGGAGAGGTGAGGAGGATTCTGGGACGTCACATGACATCACTCTTATCTCTATTAATAAAACACAGACCTGACCGGAGAGGTGAGGAGGATTCTGGGAGGTCACATGACATCACTGACCGGAGAGGTGAGGAGGATTCTGGGAGGTCACATGACATCACTCTTATCTCTAGTAATAAAACACAGAGCTGACAGGAGAGGTGAGGAGGATTCTGGGAGGTCACATGACGTCACTCTTATCTCTATTAATAAAACACAGAGCTGACCGGAGAGGTGAGGAGGATTCTGGGAGGTCACATGACGTCACTCTTATCTCTATTAATAAAACACAGAGCTGACCGGAGAGGTGAGGAGGATTCTGGGAGGTCATATGGCATCACTCTTATCTCTATTATAAAACACAGACCTGACCGGAGAGGTGAGGAGGATTCTGGGAGGTCACATGACGTCACTCTTATCTCTATTAATAAAACACAGAGCTGACCGGAGAGGTGAGGAGGATTCTGGGAGGTCACATGACGTCACTCTTATCTCTATTAATAAAACACAGAGCTGACCGGAGAGGTGAGGAGGATTCTGGGAGGGCCAACATGACATTATGTAAAACAGAACTGACTGGACGGCTGTTAGATATTGTAATGAACTGACAATGCTTATTTGTGATGCTTTTGTTTTAAATAAAGAATTATATAGCTTTCAAATTATCTAATGGATTGGTGGCAGCCAACTTAAAGAAGACCCAAAGTCCTCGTATACAGCCTCCATCTCACTCTCTGAGAAAGAACAACAAGAAGATTCTAGAAGTCACCGAGAAGATCATTGAGCTGCTGAGGGGGGAGGTGAGCGGTGCCGGGAATTCTGGGACATGATCCAGGAACAGACAAGGGATGTGTCTGGATGGTGACTATATCATTGTGTGTGTCAGGTTCCTATAAGGTGTCAGGATGTCTCTGTCTATTTCTCCATGGAGGAGTGGGAGTATCTAGAAGGACACAAGGAGCTCTACAAGGATGTCATGATGGAGAACCGGCCGCCCCTCACATCACCGGGTAAGAGGAGACTTTCATTTCTTGAGTATTGAGGATCCACCTAGATACACACATCCTCTGATATAAAGACATAGAAACTATGTATTCAGTCAGTGTTTGTGTTTCCTACAGATGGATCCAGGAACAGAAATACCCCAGAGAGATGTCCCCGTCCTCTGTATTCCTGGGATTCCACACAGGAACATCAGGAGATCCCTCAGGCCCGTCCTGTGTATTCCCGGGATTCCACACAGGAACATCAGGAGATCCCTCAGGCCCGTCCTCTGTATTCCCAGGGTTCCACACAGGAACATCCGCAGATCCCTCAGGCCCGTCCTCTGTATTGCCAGGATTCCACAAAGGAACATCAGGAGATCCCTTGGGCCCGTCCTCTGTATTCCCGGGATTCCACACAGGAACATCAGGAGATCCCTTGGGCCCGTCCTCTGTATTCCTGGGATTCTACACAGGAACATCAGGAGATCCCTCGGGCCCATCCTCTGTATTCCCAGGATTCCACACAGGAACATCAGGAGATCCCTCAGGCCCGTCCTCTGTATTCCCAGGATTCCACACAGGAACATCAGGAGATCCCTCAGGCCTGTGCTCTGTATTCCTGGGATTCCACACAGGAACATCATGAGATCCCTCAGGAGGATCAGGTAGATGGAATCCCAAACTGAATATTAAATATCATCTCTTCTAACAAGCAGACCCATGAAACATGTTCAGTTATAAAAACACAGTAATATGGTTCCATGCACATCAACAGAAGTAAGATAATGTTTCCTCCATTGCTGTGAAGATATGTCTGAGGCACAACTATGTTGGTCCAGTTGCATTTGATCAAACAGGCTTCCTAAAATAATTTTTGGTAGGAGAGTTCCTCCCCAGACCTAAGAAGTAAACTTCACCTCATATCTCTTAGATAGCAGTTTAGGGGTACAGTCATGACATTTTGAAGGACATTATTTAAATCATCATTGTCTTATAGGTAATGCTTAAAGTAAACTACAGTGATTGCAGAAAAAAAACTAGAACGGAAGGAGAAGATCCATATGTGAGGGGTGATGAGCCGTTTAAGGAGGAGGAAATCCCTCTAGAGATCAGCACAGGTGAGTAATAAACACTAAATCCAGAAAAGACTCCCAGATTCTCCTTGTTCAGTCACTACAACAATCTCTTCTTCTCCCCCCTCCTCTGTCAGTAGACAGTAATGGGGGGACGGAATGTGTTTAGTGGGGGGAGTCAGGAGCCATCAGCCTCTATTAGACTCCGGCTCTCCTCACATCATGTAATTGTGTGTTACCAGCCAAGAGACGTGACCAGTCTCCCCCACACACACTCTCTGGGGTCTCTCATACATCTCAGGAGGCTTCACTCTCATCTTTCTTCACAGACCCTGGAGACACCAGGGACTTTCAGAAGGACATGAAATCTGAGGAAGGAATAGACGTGAAGATTGAAGAGGAGAACCTTCTTAAAGAGATCAGCACAGGTGCGTAATTTCTCAATAAAGAAAAGATTCTTAACTTCTCCTAATCAGCCTTTTCTTAACCCCTGAAACTCAGGCCTGAATTCTGCGTGCTGTTCTAAGCCACAAATCCTGTTCTTGTATCGGATTGCTGGTCAGACGCGTGTGGGAAAATATTGCTCCCAACACGATTTTGTGTTTAATGCTTTTTCAGTCGTTCCCATCCTCTTATTTTCTCCAGATGAACAACACATAGGGAATAACTCCATAGTCCTTCCAGAGGGTGGAAGAGAAGATGATGACTTCACAGTGGATTCTTTCGAAGAAAGTGCCATTACCACATATCTTCATCCAATACTTTCCATTGCAGATCTATCAGCGAATCCCTCTACTCATGGGGGGAGCTTTCTCCAACACTCCCCTCCCGTCACGCAACAAACAGATCACAGAGGGGGTGAAATGTTCCTGTGTTCCATATGTGGGAGAATTTTTGCCACGAAGGAGACGCTCATCTCTCACCAGAGAATTCACACAGTGGAAAAGCCGTATTTGTGTTCCGTGTGCGGTAAATGTTTTACGCAGAGGTCGTGCCTTACCCTCCATCGACGCATTCACACGGCTAAGAAGCCGTATCCTTGTTCCGAGTGCGGCAAATGTTTTACCCAGATATCAACTCTTATTTCCCATCAGAGAACTCACACGGGGGAGAAGCCGTACTCGTGTTCAGAATGTGGCAAATGTTTTACCGTCAGTTCAGTCCTTACCAACCACAAGAGAATCCACACGGGCGAGAAGCCGTACTCATGTTTAGAATGCGGCAAACGGTTTGCCCGGAGGGCTGACCTCAATATACACCAGAGGATTCACAGCGGGGTGAAACCGTTTTCATGCTCAGAATGCGGGAAATGCTTTTCGGTGAATTCAGTTCTTACTAGACACATGAGGACGCACACGGGGGAGAAGCCGTATTCATGTTCGGAATGTGAGAAAGGTTTCTCCCGGAGAGCACAACTTATTGCCCACGAAAAGGCCCATAATGGAGAGTAGCCGTGTTCATGCTCAGTGAATTCAGTTCTTACTAGACGCATGAGGACGCACACGTATTCATGTTGGGAATGAGGGAATCGGAGAACTCGTACGGAACTTGTTATCAGAATGTTTTTCTGAAACAGCAAGATTTCAAAGCGTTTATAGAAGGAGTCCACCCATCTTTATATATTGTGTGCCGGAGAAGTTCTAGTAGGAAATCAAATCTGGTGAAACATGAGAAGGTCCATGCAAAATATGTATACTGTATGGCAACATTTTTTGGACACCCAACGATCACACCTTCATTAGCCTGCTGGACATCTCATTCCAAAATCATGGACATTATTTTGGAATGATCTCCCCCGCCACCTACTCAATGGATATAACTGCCTCCATTCTTCTGAGAAGACTTCCTACTTGATTTTGGAGGGTGTCTGTGGGAATTTTTTCCCCATTCAGCCAAAAGAGCATCAGTGAGGTCCTCATGTTGGAGAGGAAGATCTTGCTTGAAATTGGCATTTCAATTCATTAGGGTTGAGGTCAAGACTCCTTGCAGGCCACATGAGTTCCTCCACGCCAAACTCATGAAACCATATCTTTACAGAACTGGCTTTGTACACGGGACAGTCATGGTGACCAGAAAAGAGCCTTCTACAAATTTTGGTAGTGCACAATTGTCTAAAATGCTTTTGCATGCCATAGTATTAACAAGATCCTTCACTAGGGACACCTGGACTCAATCATTTGTAAGGTTGCCACATAAATGTGGAAATAGGTAGGTATGATATTCAGTTGGTCCTCCCGTGTATATAAAAAGCTCCACATGTATCATATTTTCTGAGCCTTATTAAAAACAAATCCTTGAGTGTATGTTTAAGTTATTCCTCGATCTGTTTTAATATCACATTCCTGATAATGGGCTAATCAGAACCAGAGAGCTTGTTGGTAATAGAAAGCACAAATATGACCTCATCAGAGTGCTGCTATTCCTTCACTATCCAATCACAGGCTGAGTGCTCTTTAAAAAGGCAGCTCTGCAGCTCCCTTCCATCTCTTAGGAATTCAACACTTCACTCTTGGGGAACGTCAGAGTGAATGCCCTTTTGTTTAGCGTGATCATGCGAGGAATTCGAACTGATGCATGTCTCAGCTTAAAATCAATTCCTAAAGTTTATTACCTCGTACACTGCTTTATATGCTTTAAAATTATCATTATTCTGATGGCGCGTACACCTAAACCTATAAAACGATCTCCAGAAAAGGCCAATTAGTTCTTGCTGAAGCCCAGTACTTGTTTACAGTTTACATTCTTTAGAAAGAGAAAGTCAAAAAAGAGAGAGAGACACACAAGGTGGTTTAAAAACAAGATGGCTGAATATAAAAAGAAAGATTTCATATATACACTTTCTTTCACAAGTTCCATCACTACAGGACTCAGCAGTGATAATAGGGTTGAAGGATGGAACCATGACACTCCCAAAAGTGTTGAATGCTAAAAAGGAAAGTAGGAGGCACGGGTCATCAGAGGGGGGAGTATAATACCTCTTCTATTGCAGTAAATTGACCTTTTGATTAATTTAGAGCAGGGGTGCTCATTAGGTCAATTATGATCTACCAATCGATCGCAAAGCAAACACTGGTAGATTGCAATCGGCTCACTGACCTGAGCTCCCTCCCGCGGTGCTAATGCGGCTGAATGTGCCAGACTCTGCAGACGGGAAGGGGCGGGACTTCTCCCAGTCTGCAGCGTCGGATACATTCGGCCACACTATCACCAGTGCGCGGTGGGACGTCCCTCCCAGTTTGCAGCGTCGGACACATTCGGCTAGGGCAGCGCACGTGAGAGAAGAGTCGGGAAGCTGCTGCAGTGCAGGTACGGATAGAGAGCCAGAGGAAAGAGAGAGAAGAGACAGCCAGAGGAGAGAAAAAGAAGAGACAGCCAGAGATGAGAGAGAAGATACAGCCAGAGGAGAGAGAAGAGACAGCAGAGAGAGAAGAGACAGTCAATAGAGAGAGACAGCAGAGAGAGAGAAAAGACAGTCGGAGGAGAGAGAGAGAAGAAACAGCAGAGAGAGAGAAAAGACAGCCAGAGGAGAGAGAGACAGGAGAGAGCAAGAGCAGAGAGAGAAGAAACAGCAGAGAGAGACGGGAGAGAGCATGAGGAGAGGGAGAAGAGACAGCCAGAGGAGACAGAGAAGAGACGGGAAAGAGAGAGAGCGGGAGAGAGAGAGGCAGTAGTCCCAGTAACTATTTTAATGTGCTTGTTTTTTAAATAAAAGGTGTTTTATAAATCTCCAGACAAAAAACTGCGGCCACCCCTGATTTAGAGGTTTGGCCGGTTCTCCTTCATAAATGACAACCATGGTCTGGCAAGGAAGGCTTGAATCAGGAATAAGTCCAGGAGAGAAGCTTGATTCAAATATTCACTAGATCCATCAGAACGTGATAAAACACGATGGCTCCGGTGAGGCGACTCTTCACCAAATCCTGTTAGAGAGGGACAGAATTGAAGATTTGCATATATACAATCCAATAACCCTGCCAAGCAAGATAGTACAAGAGTCCAGAACCTTTTAATAATAGAATGGGTTCACGTATGACAACACAGAACCACCAATGTGTTTCGGGGCTACGCTAATAGCGAATCTTCTCAGAAGCTGCATACAGCACGAGCCAGTTTAAATAGCAACCAGCTTCTGACAGCGTGGGAGTTGGGAGGCTGCGCTCGTCGGTGGATCCAGGCAGAGGTGAAGCTAGACATTGCGTCACCCGGGGCAAAGACTCAGAGTTCCCACCCCCGGGGGACAAGTTCTCCATCCAAACATCAGCGGGGCACCTCCTGATCCACCACAGGGGTGAGGCTTCAAATCGCCTCATATTCCAGTGTAGCCTTCTTAATTTAGAAGCTGCTCCTGGGCTCACTTCTATTTTCCTGGCAATGCCCCTTATAATCTGTCATGGAGGAGAGACATGAATGAAGTGATTTCAAGCCTCACCTCCATGGTGGATCAGGAGGGCCGTCTCCGCACCAAAAGAAAGAGCACAGAAGCGGATCTAAAGACACTGATCCACCACGGAGGTTCATTACGCAGCTAGAGGCCTTGAAATCCCAGCAATACATTATACAGCAATGTTGCTCTGGGGTGGTGGCCTGATGTCTCCAGGGTCTCAGGAGGGCAGTGTGCAGTTTCACCAGGACTGTGCGAGGGAGTCTAAGGCTGGGCGGCCGAGTCCAGGCTGGTGCGGCCTGTGGGAAGGAGGAGGATAGAGGAGATGTGTGGCTGGCGCTGTAATTGGGTGCTGCGAGGTCGCCCTAGGCTGCCGTGAGGTCCTCAGCAAGCATGGGACCTTACAGCAGCCAAATGGTTTTTTTAAGCACCGATATCAGCAT